AAGAAAAAAAGTTAATTTAGGTTTATTTAGATTTTTTTTGGTGATTACGAGGTCGGTCGAATTGACAGATCCCATTTTGAGATGGGGAAGTGAAAATAACAGATAAACTTTAAAGTTTTACTGAAAAAAACGTATGAAATGCATTTAGTAGGTTTTAGGGATTACACAAAGGAAATTTGAGATTTTTGATATGATGAAAATATTTTTAATTTTAATATGAAAATTACTTTGCACAGGGACTATTCAAAACAAATACTCAATATATTCATGGACAAATCTTTATTTTATTTTATTAAAAATACTTCACTAAGAAATATGACTTTTTGTATGTGAGAGACTGCAAAATTTCATGAAGATATGCCCAATACATTGAGAATTATAAGTATTAAATTTATAAAAACATTAAACGAGTACAAAAGGTCAAGTGACTTGGTCAAATTGACCGACCCCGTATTAAGAGGGTTAATATGACATTTGTTCTGAATTAATCAGTTATTTCTGAGTATATGCAGTTTTCATATAACATGTGGTCAAGAAAGTTGTTAAGTTGATGTCATTCTAGCTTCCTTTGTTCCTGTTAAACCCACAATATTTCTGCCCATGAGGAAAGCATGGCTGTAACACTGCATGTTGTGCATAAATGTAAACAGAAGTGTCCTTCAGTGGTAGTTCAGGTGGTATCCTGAGGTTATGGCCTCCCCTATACTTGAATGAGAATGACAAGGCACATAGGTAGTGCTAGTTGCTCTGAGAAAATCTAATGCTACATACAAAGTAAAGAATGTTGAGCTTAAACAGTTAGGTAGATGCTTTTAATCTGATCACTTGAAGATAACCAATCAAGATAAAGTGACCAACTTGTGTCCATAAAAGCAAGTATATACATGGTGTGGTGTTTTTTTTTTTGTTACATATTGTGCAAAGCTACTTAGGAGCAACTATCTGCACTGGCCATCCCTAATTTATAAGTAAACAACAAATTTCAAAAAAGGAACTAAATGTACAGATGGCTAATATCAATCCTTCCAAAACAGTGCAAATGCCATCCCTACAATTTTGTTTGCATTTTTTTTTTTAAAGGATTGATATGAGCCATCCCTACTTATATTTCCTATTTTGAAATTTTTTCTTTACTTGTTTGCTTGTTTTTTTTATGCAGTGTTTCAATAGATATAGAAAGGTTGTATTTATAACCAAATTCTAAATACAATGAGGTTCCAACTGTAATATTTGTTGTTTATCTATTATTGGTTGGTAATTTCTGTTTCAACCTGTACTTAAGCTTTTTAAGGAACACTAAATTTCTGTAACAAAGCTAACTTCAAGGGGTAAAGATAACATTATTCACACTAGAATTACAATTTTTTTTTATTACTAATTATTAATAATACTTATAAAAGCAGATATTCCATTTGAAACTATGTCACCTCAGAGAAATTAGCTGACACCATTGTTTTGATTTTTGAGTTATCGTGTAATAAGAAAGCAGAAGAAAGAAGAACAAGAAATTCAAACTTTTTGGTATGATATTTACAGACATTCCCAGAACTTGTAACTCAGTCATTACGTAGATATTTTTATAAAACAAAACACTGTATGGTAAAGTTCTGATAACCTATTGAGGATATATTTAAAATACCATTTCGATGAACAATCCGAGCTATAGGCAGTGCTACCACCAAGCCTGATAGACTAGTCACCACCAACACCTAGGTGACACAAAGTGCATTGTGGGATAAACTGTAACATTATAATGCTCCCAGAGCTGAAGGGTCAAGCATATTTGATGATGAGGTTCAAACCTGTGACTTACAGATTGCAAGTTGAGCACACCAACTACCAGTCAATGCCAGGCTCATCCTTGTGAATAAATAAAGACTATCTACCTGTATTCTACAGTGTGTACAGTCTCATCATTCACGAACTCAGTTACTCAAATATTAAATACTACTTCATCATAAGTACTGCAGTACTTATTGTAGGAATGGGACAGATACACGATACATGCAATACAAACTATTTACTCGTATACACCTTTAACAACCAAATAATAAATCTTCAAAAGTATTTGTAAACCCTTAGGTCGTAAACAAACCACATACAGAATTATAAGTCATAGAACCACTTGAGAAAGGCAGCAGAAGAGATACAAAAAATTCACAAAACCACAAATTTCTCAATCTCACTGCATGACTGACTGACACTGTTGAATACTTCTAGCTGTGTAACAAACAGACTTAACATAGTTATAAATTTACCAAATAGTACAATAGCACAGGGACCATGTACTCGTGCTAGCATTTTTCTATACTAAACATCACCAAAAAGAAGAGCTATTTGACATACATCACGTAATACTTTGAACAGGGACTCCATTTTAAAACACATACATCCACTCGTTCACTCCATATACTAAGTAGGTGTGCTCAAATAAAACAGTAAAGGGGATGTGGTCTCCTCAATCTACAGTACTGTGTGAAGAGATCTGGAAACTGTGAGTAGTATGGGGTATGCCAACATAGGGTGAGCCTTAAGAGAAGCTTCACTATCTATGCTAGAAGACAAGCTATGCTCTTTTGCAAGGAATTTATAATACAAATTGTAAAATAAATCAAGTTTGCATTCATGAAGCATTTAACACATAGCATGGGAGTTTACAACTAGCTCAAACTGCCAAAACCAGTTTTTGCTGCATATAAACCTTGGTTGAAGAATATTGTTTCCAATTTTTCGTGATGAAAAATTGTTCAAGTTGAAAGTGTTACAAGCATTTATAAGGTGAACTCTCACTAAGGTTGAATCTGTCAGCTTTTGTGGATGGGCAATCATATACTACAGGTGAACTATTTAATATATCAATTATTTTGTTCAGCTTGAGGGGTTCACTGAATTTTTTTTTTTGGTTCAACTGAAATTGCATACATTTCTTCTGGGTTTCTTCCCTTTGTGCTCAAGTGAGACTGCAATTACAAGTTTTACCTACATGAAATTCTAGTTAATGTCTGAACTAGATGAAGTAGTTAATTAAATTAACTAATTTATCAACCCTTAGTATATGCACATAACCAAAACTCATGCTACCATATTAAATGACATAATGCATAAGCATAACTCATGAAGAATTTTATTATTATATTTTATTCATTATTTTACCTAATTTAACCTTATCTAACCTAATCAGTTTATAATTTTTAGTTACTTTTATAACCAGAAATAAAAAATATACATAAAAAATAAGAACTACGGTACTTATATTTGACCTCTTGTTTTTTCCTATTGGTTGCCAGTGAAATTTAAGCCTACTTTTTATAAAGATGGTACTGGTAAACTATGTAATTTTTATTTACTTATATATAATGCACCTAAAAACACAAAATAATAATACACACAAAGCAAACAATGTCCTATTACTATTACCATTTAACTGGCTACTAGGACAAGATGGGCATAAATTAAGTCCTTTTGCTGTTCAATCTGAACAACACGAGAGAAATTTTCAAACTGAAAATTAAAATACTCCGTACTGAAAACAACATAGTACTATACGTCATTTGAGAGAATAAAACTTTGTCTTTCTATTAGTTATAAACGATGTAGTATAAAACATCAGAATGAATTATTGGCAATTTGTGAAAGAGAGGATTTGACAGGGAGTATGGAAAGTGGGTCTGATTTTGATTTTCTAGGTTATGAATCTATAAACAAATAAGATTGAAGATTACAAAAATTTGACTTTGCCTGAGTAATATATACTTCAAGAAGGGGTGGTAAATAAAATAAAGAAGGGAGAAGACCTAGAGAACAAATGTCACAATTCTCGTAACAGGGGAGATTAAAGATTTTTTAAAAATATTTTATCACAAAATTAAGAACTTAAAACTTGTATAATATTAAAACTTCGTTTATTAACCATGTTTTGATATCAAGTTTATTCATATACACTGAATATTACTCTGTAAAAAGTCAGAGCATACAATAGGGTTAAAGTGTCACAGTTCTGTTGATTTTCAAGAGCTTTCAAGAACTAAGTGCTATTTTGATAAAATTCAGGGGTTTTGAAGGCCTTGAAACAAGTCTTTAAAAATTCAAGGGTATTTTTGGGTGCATAAGGAGTATTAACATTACTTGTTTTTCCAAAGTAATGAGGAAATCAAAAAATAATAGACAACTGAGCAACTTCACAGCACACTTGTATTACAAAAAAATCAAACTATATAATGAGATGACCACAATAATATAGCTTCTTTAAATATATATAAATATAGAAAATGTGGTTTAAAAGTTGAAAGATTGAGAATTTTTCATTCTTAGAGCAATTTGCAATAAAGACACGCAAAATAAAAACAGGTGTTTTTATTGACTGAATCAGTGTGGCAGTAAACTGAAAGGTCATACCTGACAATGTATGATGACGGCCAAGACGTCAGTAGGGCTAGAGGAAGTCCAAAACCTACAAAATACGGCCAGTTGTTTTCTATGAAGGATAAACGCTTGTGAAGTTCCCAACCTAGTGAAGAAATTAAAATTAATAAACAAATTTAAAATAAAATATCTAGATTTAAGTTTCATAGTGACATTACATCCTGATATGACAACATAAGGAAAGTAAATAAATACATACTTACCATATATACTTCATAAAAACATTTAAGATATATATTTATAACAACATTATATAATTAAGCTTATGAGATTTAAAACTATTATTTTTTTTTTTATAAGTAGCTGTTTGGTGAATAATTATCAAGCCTCCAAGATGTCTGTTTCTGGCTGCTAACCATTAAAATAACAATTAAATTTGACAAATTACATGCTATTTTTAGCAAAATCTCTGTTGCAGGAATGCTATATTACATTTTATTAAGCCCTATAAAACCAAATATGAGTGTCAATATTTCAAAAATAATTATTTCCTACCTTGTACCTAACAACTGAGGATAATATTTACTTTGTAACAAAAAATTTTCAGGTGTAACTGGCCACAATAAGTGTATGCTTCAAGCCACATGTACAACAGCTACAGCTAAAACCTGAATCTTATATTTTAATGAAGAACAAATATTCTGTTTCTGCAAATATATTTTTTTACAGGCTGAAGCATTAATATACAGGCTATTATGAGCTATTACAGGATTTTTAAGGAATTATAAAGATTTTAAAGGTTACGCTAGTGAAAAACATGTTTCATAAGTTCACCAGGAAGCCTGAACCATATAATTTTTTCTAAATCATGAAGTAAATTATCCCTAATACATAGCCAATTCTAAAACATTCAAATTATTCTGATGAACAATTTTCTTACACATACAGTAATGGGAATTACAACAATGTACAAGTGACACACATACAGAAGTTATAAATAAGTAATGGCAACTAGATGATGAATTTATTAATTCTAAATTAATTATCAGTGACAATACAAGAGAAAAGCAAAAGTTGCATAATGTGCTAGTATTTTGTCAGAGAGGCCTTTGTTTTACATGTTCTTTTCAAGTTGCCATTCAATTTATCACTGAAATTGTGAAATACTTTTCCAAATGTACTGTGTTATGCTTCACAATTCAGAGATAATGTCTGCTTGCCTTTTGACTTTAATTTTTACAGCAGCCTATATTCCTTCAATAATATTCATGACAGGACTTTGTGCATTGACTTCTTAACAAAATACAAAATATTCATGAATCCAATAAATTTACAGCTGAATACTTTAAGATTTATTTGCACAGTCAGATTGTTATTGGAGGATCCCAAAAGGAAGAGAGTTAGCTCTTGCATAGCAGGAAGCACCAATCTTAGGATTATTAGAAACTGGCATCTTTTTACACTACTGGATGTGGCATGTAAAATAGTAATAATATCTACTTGTATGACTGAAATCTATTTCATTATTTCTAATATATTAAAAACAAAGGCTTTGCTGAATGCAAGTATATCTGCAAAAATAGACATACTTTGCATGATTTATTTAGTTATTTCACAATTACAGACTCTTCTGGCCTAATTTCTGTGGTTAATTTTCATTAGAACTTTAAACATTTAAATATCTATAATTTTAGGATAAGGAAAATTTTATTTGGATTACACATGATAATAAGAATGTTTTAAAGTTACTAATTAGTCCTATTAAGAATAAAGATGATCACTTTGACCAACCTTGGAATGATGAAACTACACACGCTTTAACTCTGTATTTACCACTCATGTCTTCACAAAATCTGACAAGCTTTTAGTAAACATTTAAAGTCTGTTAAACATACAAAATTTTTAATAGCATTTCTGCTAAAGATTTGTCTGTAAATTCTCAAAGCCTTTACCGAGTAAGTCTGAGTAAAAGGAGATTTTCAAGCTAAGAATAAAAATACTTCTTTCCATCATTCAGTTTCATATTTCATATGCATTACTTCTAAAATCTCATAAAGGAATATCAAAGTGCTTATCAGGTAAAGCTATATTTCATCTCTTATTTTCTCTACCCTAGCACTAACTGCACAGAAATCAACGTACAGTGAAATGAAAATTTGAAAAATATGAAATAAAATGAATAATACCTCTTTTTTTTCTCTTCACTGACTGCATTTTTGGTCAGAAATTGCAAAATTACTTATCTTTACAGTTTCAACTGTTAACCATTTCACACGTTTTTATTTTATAGTTTTATTGTTGTACTCTGTACCTACAAATGCAGTACTTTTAATGCAAAAAATATATAAATCACAGTTGGAACCATAAACAGCACATGATTTGAGTGTCATATTTATTTCACACCATGCTCAAGCTAGTGAAATTTTAGTGTTTTTTTTACTGACATTTGTTAGGCAAGTTGAGAAATGTATAATTTTTATATTTTAGTTACTTTTGTTAAAAAACATATAGGAATAAATAAAAAAACATACATAAAAACAAGGATTTGTACTACCCCCCACTGCATACTTGAGCAGCTTACATTCGAGTAAAAATCTTAGATGTGCTTCGCTAAGCCTCATTCAGCTTCACATATTTGGGTGTCATGAATAAAATTAATGTCGCTTTTAAATGTGTATTTTCAAACAAGACAAGATGGATGAACTGTTTAACTCATCTGGTCAATGTAGAAGAAGATATATCTAAAGAGGAAGAGGGATCCCACAGCAAGAGGAAAAGTTTCCCATTGCCTCAAAAGGGAGTTGTGTGAGAAAGGTAACATCATACTGCTTGCATAGAGCAATGGAGATAATCAGGATCTGAACAATCAAGAAGAGATGGTAGAGATAATGATTACAAAAAACATCTGACATTTTTTAAAGGCAACCCAAATCTTGGGAAGGAAGGAACAGTTTAGTAACAAAATCAACCTGTTCCAGTGAAAAATTGTGAAGGTTGCATCTAAGACAAAAATAGCCAAGCAATGCCTCCAGCAAGCTATAAAAAGGAGAAAATTTGTCTAAAGAGAGAGATGGTACAAGGAAAAGGTGGCCAGAGGTTCAAATGGATAAGGAGCAAACATGCCTTGAAGAGGTTCCAAAGAACCTGAGAAAGAAAATGAGAATAGTTATAGAAAAGATGGAAGGTCATTGACAATGCTACACTGCATCTGATGATCAAAGAAACACAGACTACTCTCAAAAAGGTAAAAAAAGAAAGTGAGATGAGGAATAGTCATATGACTTAGACCAGTGTCAAAAACCCACCCAATTATGCTGATAAACTGCAAAAAAGGATGGTTTACAAGAGTGAGCCACTTTTTTTAAAGAAAATCCTGACCATCTTGAAAGAGACGGCCAAAAGCCACACATGAGGAAGAGTCAAATGATTCAGACCAATGTCAATAAATCACCCATTTATGCTGATAAACAGCAAGGAAGAATGGTTTACAAGAGTGAGCTACTTTTGAAAAAATCCTGCCCATCTTGGAAGAGATGACCAAAAGCCACACATGAAAGTGAAAGTGTGGTATGTTGTAGTGGAAAATAGACATCTGAGAGACATCCAAGAAGGAAGAGATAAGAGGCTCCTAGATCATCAAGAAGTTAAGAAGCAGAAAAGATGACTCAGCTTGCCAGATGGAAGCAAGAACCCAGTAAGGGGTGCATCAAATCAGAGACAGCATGCTGGGAAAAAAATAACAGAGGAGGATAAGCAAAGAGAAAGAGATTGAACCAACCATGATCAAGAGCATCCACCACTAAACTAGCAGAGACTGGGACTGGTGACCAAAAGAGTAGATTCACAAAGGCATTGATAAGAGGACTCCCAAATAAGAAACAAATCCATTGAAAACACCAGAAGATGTAAAACACAACCTGATGAAAGGATCATCCAGGCAAGATGGCCAATCTGTTACTAAGTTTAAAACTTCAAGGGGTGTGGCAGGCCAAAAACAATACATTGTGATTGTAAGCACAAAAGAGATGCTCTAAAGATAGAAAGCAGAGTTCCTGAGAGAAATTACCTCCCAGCCAATTGATATAAGAAATCACAGTAGTTATCTGATTGTATCATAATAAATTGACATGACAGACAATAGTGGCAGTCCCACTGAACATTTTGAAGTCAGTGATGTACAGAAGCTACTCCCGTGGAGATCAAATATCCAAAACGGCAAAGGTGTCCAGAATTATGCTCCACCCAAACAGAAGTGTCTGTGAACAGATGTATGTTTGGGAGAGGTGGAGGAAGAGGAATGCTGGGTTGTGTGGGATCAATCAAGTCACCACCACAGCAAGAAGTGAAAAATGAGGAAGAAAAATTAAAGACAGTAGGCTCTCGAAAAATCCCCCCTGATCAGCTAAAGTCCACAAAAATGGGCATGTCTAAGAGGAAGAGGAGATAGAACTTACAGGTTTGACAACGTTTGCCATTGCAGAGATAACTTCCACCAGGTGTCAAATTAAAGTTAACTTTGACATGTACTAATTGGGATTTCAAAGTCTTATTTTTCCTAAAAGAAGCAACAGGAACTTCCGTAAAAATAGTCTTTAGTCTATCATTAAGTTGAAGGAGGTAAAAGTGGTTTTTCAGCAAACTAACAATTTCTCTCATAAAGACAACCAAAGACAGTTCAAAATCAATAAACCCATAACCTGCACTACAACTAATGCTATTTACTTAATCCAGTGCCAAAAATGCAACTTTCAGTATGTAAGTCAAACTAAAACAGCTATACAGGAGTGGTTTAATAACCACAAATCTTCAATCAAAATTAACAAAGAACTTCTGGTTGCAGAGCATTTCAACATGCCTGCCCACTCTCTTGACGACATGATACTGACAGGTATAAAGACAAATTTTACATCAAACAGAAACAGGGAAATTAAAGAAGCTTACTGGATAGCACTGTTAAATACTGTAACGCCGAATGGCATCAATCTCGATCCTGGGATTGTTGACCTTCGAGCATCTCTAAAAAAATTCCGAAAAACTTGTCATTAAGTTTGTAAAGTTTTATTATTATTATCATTCACATTTTTATTCATGCTTCTTTGTTTTCCTG